CGCCCTCCCCTGAGGGCCATTCCTTTTTTTTTCACACAGTTTTTGCAGAAATATATATATTTTTTTCACAACTGTAATTGTAGATGCAATTTTGTATTCTTTTAAAATCAGTATTTCACTCATGGATATTTTTCTGTGATGTCACTAATTATAATTTTTATTGCATGTAATCCCATCTAATTACATACCATAATTTATTTAACCATTTACCCACTGGATAATTTAAATGAGATTCTAGTTTCTTTTTTTAGATAACTTTTATTTAATAATATAAATTTTGAAAGTACAACTTTTGGATTATAGAGGTTTTTTCCCCCCATAACCACCCTCTCACCCGCAAACCATCCCATCTCCTGCTCCCTCTCCCATCCCACCCTTCATTAAGATTCATTTTAAACTATCTTTATATATAGAAGATCAACTTAGTATATACTAAGTAAAGATTTCAACAGTTTTCACCCACACAGACACACAAAGTATAGAGTACTGTTTGAGTACTAGTTTTATTGTTAATTCTCATAGTACAACACATTAAGGACAGAGATCCTACATGAGGAGAAAGCGCACAGTGACTCCTGTTGTTGATTTAACAATTGACACTCTTATTTATGAAGTCAGTAATCACCCAAGGCTCTTGTCATGAGCTGCCAAGGCTGTGGAAGCCTCTTGAGTTCATAAATTCTGACCTTATTTAGACAAGGCCATAATAAAAGTGGAAGTTCTCTCCTCCCTTCAGAGAAAAGTACCTCCTTCTTTGATGGAGGGCCATTCCTAAATGTAAGCAGATGCCACATTATGATCCAGAATGGACGATTTCTTGCTGTTTTTCTATTAAGATATAAAAACACCATTGTGAAATTCATACAGACTCATCATAATTGTCCAGTTTTTTCATCAGTTATCAAATTATATAGTGACTTACTGAACAGGCAGGAGTGTGCTTGTTGTGTGTTTGTCATTTTAGAACAATGATCAACAATGATGAATTACTTGAACTATGTATTATTATTATTTTTTTTTTACCAGCAAGCACTTGAAAGAACACAAACACAATCTTGGTTTCTCTACTTCTTCTAGCCATGGGAAGTTAACATGTTCACAGCCACGTGATCACTAGCATCACAGAAAGCAGAGCCTGAAATAATACCTTTTTGTATCTCTGGGATCTTGTTCTGTTGGGATGTCTAACACCACTTTCCATTCTAAAGCAGGGTCAGCTGAAAGGGATCAGGATGGAGTCTGGGTTGATTTTGTTAGTTTGGGAGAAGTTCCTTCGCCTCCAGGAGCCACAGTGTCAATGTCTCTGTCTCTGAGACACTGGAATGACTGCTCCTTTGTGAGGTTAAAGGAGAAGGCTTCACAAGCAGGGGCTGAGCTGTGCCGACTGCCTCTCTCTGGGAGAGGCTGTGGAAGTTCAGGAGACTGGCTTTTTCTCCAGGTCTTCCCGGCTCCTCAGTTGATTGCTCTCTCATTGTAGAGCAAGAAGCACCTCTGCCAGCAGTTCCAATGCCCCACCAAGCAGGGGTCTTTCAACAGTAGCATCGGCCATGTTACAGTACTTTTTCAACCATTTTGATCAAACTACCAGCTTCATGTTCAGAGCCTCCTGGATTGACAATGAGAAGTTTCCGTGAATGGCTGATGGCTCAAATGTTTTAACTGAAATCATGGCAACATGAGAGGCCTCACAGATTTTTCAGGTCCTACTTAATTATTCAAAATTTAAAATCTGTTGTTCTTTTGTTGAATAATTTTTACTAGTATCAGTTCTCTTTGAAGCCAAGTTTACATAAAAATTTATTAATCATTTTGTTTTTATGCATATTTAAATCAGTTACTGTTGTAGGACTTTTTTGCTGTAACTTCTTTAATTATTCTGAAAATGTTACAACTCACAAAAAGCTCATAAACTCCTAAATTCATTAAGTATCATAATTATTCTGCTCCCTTACACATTTCTCTCTCCTCAAGTCTTTGAAAATAGGATGCATAATCATGATACTTGTAAATTTTATTTTATTTTTCAAAGATTTATTTATTTTAAAGAGTTACGGGGGGGGGGAAGAGAAAGATGTTTCATCTGCCAATCCAATTCCTGGATGGCCAAAATGGCCAGGGCTGGGCCAGGACAAAGCCAGGAGACAGGAGCTTTCTCTGGGTCTTCCACATGGATGCAGGGGCCCAAACACTTGGGTCATCCTTTGCAGCTTTACCAAGTGCATCAGCAGGAAGCTGGATCGGAAGTGGAGCAGCCAGGACATGAACTGCTGCCCATGTGGGATGCTGCCTTTGTAGGTGGCAGCTTTACCTGCTATGCCGCAATGCTTGCCCCATCATATTCTGTAACTTTTAATGTCATTCTTTATGTTGACATGACAGGCTGGCCCTTTTACTTTCTTGATCCTTGAGTCTCTCCTTTAATACAGTGAATGGTTCCTGAATCCCATCAGCCCCGCTGAGTTCAGGGCCCATCCATCAATCAGAGAGTGGACACAGATGCCACATGGACAGGGATCATGGCAGGTCACACCAGGAGAGGAAGCCACAGCTGTGGGCACACAGAGGGATAGTGAACGTTTGCTCAAAGATGAGTGAATGAATGAGAAAAGAATGGAAGCAAGAGAAGCAGTCCTGGGTGGGGTCACAGGGCTCCCAGCACAGAGTGCACCCCAGTCTATCCCACATTAAGCCCCTTCTACTCGGGGCGGTTGTCACACTGCACCTGCTCCCCTTCCCCTCCAATCATTTAGAATATTTCTGGGTCAGCAGAAGGAGGAGACCCCCTAGGGAGGGCCTTCCCTGTCATTGGCCCCCTGAGGACCTCTGATCTACTGCCACGTGGCTGTTCATGGGCAAATGTTACAGGGCAAGATTCCCACATCTCTTATTAGGCAGTGCTGTGCACAGCTGAACAGGAAGGCCTGGCTGTCTCCCATTTCTCTGATGGGGAAACTGAGGCTCAGAGTCTTGTCTGTAGTCAGCAGCTTGAAAGAGTGGCCATGACCATCCTGTCTCTCTGACTCTGCATCCTGAACTCAAGGCCCTGCTGAGGTCTCCATGGGACTCGGGGTCCCAGCGTCCTTCAAGGGCTGCACCCTCCCTGCCTGCAGCCTTCCGAGAAGTCAGGAGTTAGAGGCACCCCCATCTCAGGCTGTGTGTCCATGCATGTCAGGACCAGGAGTTCCGGGAACTGTAGGCCACAGAAACCTCTCCCAAGGCATCTGGGTGCAGTCTCATTATCAAGGGAGTCCCAGGGTTTATGGCAGCTTCTTGTCTTAAACCTGGCTCTGCTGCTAAGTAGACTGCAGAGAGCAGGGCCTCTAGCCTTAGTGGGGACCTCACATGCCCATGTCACTGAGTGGTCAGGACACAGTGAGAGACCCACGTGAGGACAGAGGCCTGCAGGGGCTCACCCCTCAGCTGTTCATACTCACATCTCCCCACAACAGCCCAGAGCTCGCATCTCTCTGGCCCCTGCCCCCTCTGTCCCCTGTGCTGGGGCAGCCCGCCTCTTTTGGACCCTACAGTTGATCAGGGAATCAGGCTACACCACTAGTCATGGTGAGATAACCCTCAGCTCAGCTTCCTGGGGGTGGGCTCCAGCCATTAGACCCCAGGGCCTGGAACTAGACATGACCATGAGCTCATGACCTTGTGATGGGGACATTGGCTGTCCTGAGTGGCGTACACTCCACTCTTTGCATTCTCAGTGCTGGGGAGCACAGGTCTCTGGGGCTGTCCAAGCCAAGGCAGCCAAACTGAGCTGCCTGGGACTCTGCAGGGGAGGTGCACCCACTGCCACCCACTCCCTCCAGTTGGCCTGACCTGGGCTCCAGGCTGATGGGTGTGCAGGGTGCACAGGCATCAGGTGATTTGGGACATTCTCCAGAGGGACAGTCATGGGGCCAGTGCTGTCACTGGGTGTGATCCAGGCCATTCCCAGGAATACACACAGGTCAGCATTCCAGTGCCCCAGCTTCCTCCTCCACAGGCATCCCTCAGCCCTAGTGGGTCAGCTGAGAAGCCCATTAAGAAAATCCCTGTGGCTATAATCTCTTGATGAAATTCATAGCCTTCATACTCCCTCCTAGCTTTCTGTGATGTCCTTGTGTGCCCACAGGCCACACAGTCTGGCTCATGCTGGGGAGGGGAGTCCTCATCTGGGATCAGCACAGCCGTGACCTGGGTGGGGCTTCCCTCTCAGGGGGTTCCTGATCTGCAAATGGGGAGTGACAGCAGTGCTTCCCCATGGCTGAGATACGGGGCCCAGTGCACCTGGCCAGGGGCCCAGAAATCGCAGGAGCTCAGGGAAAGAGCAGTCACTGTCCTTGGGGACATCCTCTGTGTCTCCATCTTCCCAGCCATGACACATCCATCTCATCTGCACACCAGACAGTCTGGATCACATGGGGTCCTGGACAAGGCTCCCCTGTCTCCTGTGCAGTGAGCCAACCCCTGCTCTGCTTCTCTGCCAGTGACCCATTGTTGAGCACAGGGACAGAGACTGTGACAGCTTCTGTGTGTGGCCCATGGCTCTGAGGCTGTGCCCTAAGAACCACCTACCCTCTCCCTGTACACCCCTCATCCCAGAAGCTGGGGGGCTCCCAGTGTGTGCAGGGAGGTGCAGTGCATCGCATTCCTTGTACCAGTGATGGCTGTGGGCAGGGCTGCCATCCCATTTCACAGATGAGGACATTGAGGCTGCAGTGAGAACACCCACTGCAGGTCAGTTCTGTCTGACCTTAGAGCCCACGTCTATGACCATGGGGAGGTGCTGCCCTATCCATAACAGTGTCCCCATGTTCATTGCTTTCCTTGGCCTTCCCATTATTTGCTGCTCTTTGTCCAAAAAGGCAACCCTGGCTCTGCCCCTGGGAGGTGTCAGTGTCGTCTTCAGAGTATCCAGAGCCTTGGCACTGGGGCCACTGTGCAGTGAGAGTGGGGAGGGGAGGGCAGGGCCTGGGGAGTTTGCACAGTGCAAATTGTACATACACACTGGGTAAGGAATTAAATTTTATTATAGTATAGGGACAATAAGGTGGAGAAAAGGAACACAATGGGGAGGAGTAAAGAGAAATACAGGATCACGGGGATGGGGAAGGACAGGTGTGGCACTGGGGCTGAAGCAGAAGGGACTGCAGGAGCTGGGGCTGAGGCCGGGGCCAGTGCTGTGTCTGGTGGGCCCTGCTCGGCCCCTGGGGACACGGCTGTCCCCCACGTATCCTTGTGCCAGTGCTCCTCCTTGGAGGGCCAGCACTGCTCCAGCAGGAATGTTGCTTGAAGGTCAGTGGTCTGTTCCGCTCCAGCCATGAGGTCAGGTGCCGGGCCTGGCCCTTGCCTTGCTTCACTTCCAGCACAGGTGGAGCTGTCCTCAGGCCCCACTGTCCCGGCTGTGAGATGGGCATTTATGGAACCCCTGGGCTCTCTCTGGGCAACGGTTACCAAGTGACTGAGCGGGACCTCAGGTGGTTTGTGCATGCTGGGGAACGTCTGTGATGGTAGCTTCAGAGCTGTGAGCATGTTTGACCTCTGCCCCACCACACAGAGCTCATCAGTTTTAGGCAACTGATGCAGGTCTGGGCTGCTGGCGATCCCCAGCCTGCTGTGCTGCTCCAGGGGCGAGGCTGACTGGTCCTGGACCTGGGGGACAAGAGCGAGAATGGCAGGGAAGAGGCAGTCCCAGAGATCCCTCCACAGCCAGCAGCTCTGGGCCTCAGGCTGCCCCCACCTCTGAACTCCAACCTCCCTCCTCCAAGGGTGAAGAGGCCCCATCCCCCCACACCCAGGGCCCATGAGGTCCCAGTGGTGTCCTGGCCAGCAGAGACCTGCCCTGGCTACCAGACTCACCCTGGCCTTTTTCTGTTTTAAGCGCCAGGTACGTCGGGAGTGAGGGTTGGCCCAATGTCCCCACCACTGGGCAAGGCGCCCACAGCAGGGTTTCTTGGGGCCTGGGCTTCGGCATCGCGGGATGCAACAAAGGAACATCTTCTTATGAGACTCTTATCCAAGTGAGCTGGCTTAGACTCAACTCTGGAATGTTGGGGTGGTTGCCGGGGCAGCCAGTTCAATAGGTCATCACCAACATAGTGAGGCCACTTCCTGTGGCTCCTAAGCTCAGCCCCCTCCTCACACAAAATATCCCCAAATTCTCAGTGGGCACTACCTATTCCACTACCCCATGCCATGTGCCCACTGTCCACAGTTGCACCAACACAGGCAGCACCTGCCACAGGGCTGGCCTGGTGGCAGACAGTGTCACCTGGCTCAGACCTGCTCTCTCATCCTTGTACAAGTTTGATCCTGCACAGATCATTGTCCCTCTCTGGACATTCTCAGTCTCTCTTCTTGTCTCTGGGGATCATTCTAGCATCTGCTTGAAGGGATGCCAGCAGTGCTGTAGTGCCAAGGAACCCCTAAGCCTGGCATCACCTGTATGATGCAAACACCCTAGATGTGGGAGATCCCAAGAAGGGCTGGACAAGGAATGGGGCATGCTTAGAGTTCTAGGAAAAGGAGGGGCTTCCCTGGCCTCTCCTGCCACATCTTAGGCACTCCATAGGTCTGGCTGTGGCATAACAGGAAATCTGATTCTCATGCCATGGTTGTCCTTTCTTCTCTCTCTCTCTCTCTCTCTCTCTCTCTCTCTCTCTCTCTCTCTTTAAGTTTATTTGAAAGAGTGAAAGAGAGAGAGGGAGAGACACAGAGCATTGTGTTACATCTGCTGGTTCACCCCTCCCCCATAAAAGGTTGTCATTCCAAAGTGAGCCTGGCAGAACTCCATCTGCATCTCTCCCATGGGTTGCAGGAGCCCACATATGGGGACAGTTTTCCACTGCTTTCCCAGTTGTCTGAGCAGGGAGCTGGGATGGAAGTGGGGAACCAGTGCTCAAACTTACACTGAGGTATGGGATGCTGGAGTTGCAGGTGGTGACTTAACCTGCTGTTCCATGACACAGGCCCCAGGGAGACAATTTTACCTCCCCGTTTTTCTCTTACTCCTCACAAGTTTGTAATGCTCTTCTTTATGCTCCTTCTGATAGAGGCTGAGCTATAGCCAACACTCCAGCAATGACAATGGTGACCTACGTGGGATGGTTCCTAGCCTAGGGTTGGGGCTTCTGGGCACTGGGAGTTCAGCAGTTGGCAGTGTCAGATTAAAGAATGCCAGGCAGCTTGTGGGTAACACTTGCTGCATCCTGGGTCAAGATGTCCATCACCAAGATCTGAGCAATGGTGGCAGCAGCAGATCCAGGAGCACTTACTCTTGGGGACACTTACTCCATCCTGTGCCACTCAGGTGTGGCTTGGGACCTGGTCATGCTGAGCTGCTGATGCAGAGAGCTGAGAAGTGCATGGTCACCTGCACTCCTGTTTGTCTAGCATCTTACGGGAATCATGGCTGAGTCATTGGGGCAGCTCTGATAAGTGTCAAATACCCCAGACATGATTACCAAAACCGGAAGTTCAGCAACAGATCACAGTTGTGGAGGAGAAAGGGACAGCCTTTCCCAGGATGCCAGAATGCTGGGGTGAGGCTCTCCCCTGGGAGACAGAGGAGTGCAAAGCGAGAGGTCTGAGAAAGCCCTGAGCCTGGTCTCTGGGTTGCTGGGTCTGACCTTCCCTGCTTCACAGCATGGGGCCACTTTCTTCTGGGTTAGAGACCTCTACCTTCTATAGGTAGAAATTGAGAGGGAATTTCATGGTTCACAATGGATGACTCTGATGTTGGGTTCACCTTCCCACCACTTGATGTAAGTCTGGGATTTTATTCTTCTTGCTCCCCCAGTCCCTAGAGGCTTTCATGTTTCACCAGTTTTGTGTACCTTCCCACAGGGGGGAGGGTAGAATATCCTTTCCAAGCTGGAATCTGGACTTAAACCATCCCCCATCCGACTCCTGTAACTCTACAGTGGCCTCTACATCCCAAAGAGGATAAGGGGGGGTGCGTGAGACAGCAGGCTTCCTGGGACCCTGATGCCCAGGAAAGTCAGGGGTTTCTAACAGCTGCTTCCTATCTCAGAGTGTCCAGACAACCTAAACACTATCAGTCCTGAAGCTAATCCTCTTTATTGGTGGACACTGCCTTCTGTGTTTCGTGAGCCATAACATGGAGAACATCAGCATGGGGGGGTCAGAAAGATGTGGACACAGGCTACTGGCTAGCTCATGGCTCTCCAGTCTATTCCAGGGACCCCAAGAGAATGAGGGACACTGACACAGGTGGGTGACCCTGAAACCACAAAGCGCCCATCCAAATGTTAGCAGCTAAGTTAGAGCCTTGCCCATGTGCCTACAGCAAGCAGGAAGGACACTGGTGAGGAGTGGCAAAGGTGTCCCTAGACGGGAAGGGCTCAGCTCCCCTCAACAGAAGAAGACTGATGGGTTACTAGCTCTGCAGATGGCTCCTCTAGATAAAATCCAAATCCTCTGTGGTGCCCCTGGATACCCTAGAGATAGGACAAGCTGGAGAGAGAGAAGATGGACACTGGAGTCACAAAACGAGCTATTAAAGGAGTTTCAGTGAAAGCAGACACAGAGAGGGGTGGAATGTTTGCCCTGTGTCCTGGTTTTAAAGTTCTGACTCACTGATTCCCTGAGCTTCCCATCCCACCCTTGGGAAGAGACTGGTTATGAAATCAGATGCTTCTGTTTCTAAGCCAGGATGGAGCAGCAGTGGATGTCTAAGTCATTAAAAGACTTCTAATGGTGGGATTTGAAGCAGGAGTTTGGACACTGTGGGGGATACACACATCCTACATGGTGGTGCTTAGATTCCATTCCTATCTCTACTTTGATTCTAGCTTCTTGTGTATGTACTCCTGGGGAGGCAGCACATGATGGCTCAACTGGTTGGGTCCCTGCCACCCATGTGTCAGACCTCAATTGAGTGCCCAGCCCCAGTAGTGGCATTTCAGGGGTGAATCAGCAGGTGTGTGATATCTGTGTCTATGTCAAATAAGTATTGTTTTAAAAAAACTGTAGAGGGAAATTTGAGATTTGGTCTGCTTATGATCATCAAAGTGGTATTGGGGTAGGTTTTGGTTTCCAAGATGGCTGGAGTCCCTAAATTTTAGGCATAAGACACATATCACTTGCTGCCCGGAGACCCCAATTGTCTGGAAACCATCCAGTAAGACCCTAAATATGAATCAGCCTTTTCCTAGAAATTCATGAAAAGTGCTTAAAGGTCTTTTCCAAATCCTTAACCTGTGTTATGGCCACCATAAAAAGAAATTAGGATTCAGCCCATGTGAATTATCTATGGAAGGCTCTTTCCCAATTGTGCTGGGCCCTTGACCTGCCAAAGGTGGAAAATGAGAACAAGAAAACACAATGAGGGCAGGTAGTGGCTGCTCTCATCTGGTGTGCAAATAAGACCTACTCTCACCTACACAGGTAGAAAGCCTACCCCCTTGATTGTAAACTGAGCTCTCTTCAGGAGCAGTTTAACCCCATCTGGGCAGGACCACACCTGGCCCTGCTAACGACTGACTGTTCTCTTAAACTACCACACGGGATTCCTTTAAGTCTCCACACCTGAGAGCAGAGAAGTTCTGTGTTTCACCTGAACCTTACATGGCTCCTTGGAGAGCCTCTGTCAGACCTCAAACTGCTGCTCTACTGGGCCCCACATATAATGTCAGGAAAGGACGCCTATAAACGCCTGCCCTGTTGCCCATAGCCTCTGGGGGCTACACCCGGTGTCTCAAGTCCTTTGTGGGTGTTGAGTAGGAGAGTCTCTCTCCACCAGCCTGGGCCATGTCCAGGATCATCAAGAAGTAGTTACAGCAGCTTGACTTCCTGCCTTACCCCTCAAGATGGGAGTGAAATGTCTTAGGGGGCATCTTGTAGCCAAATGTGTAGGATTTGGGGGAAGTGGGGAGGGGAGAAATGGACCAGGGGCTGGGAATGTAAACCGCCTAGAGCTTGTTTTCCTGATGTACCCGGGGAGCTGAAATTGTTACATTTAACTCAGAGTGTCTGGACTGCTACAAACCACCACTGAAGCAGCAGCAAGAAGCCAGTTCGAGTCAGATCTTGCAGACCTGAGCTAGGCTTTCCTCATAGTGCGGTCCGGTTCTTCACCAGGGGAGGAGACGGCCGCCATTTTCTGAACTGAGAAAGTATGAAGATTGGCCCGGGCGGAAGCAGGAGGGCCCTCCGGTCTGTGGCTGGCCTTGGCCATGCCCTTCCCCCTGCTGCAGAAGCCCAGGCAGACGATGGGGTTAGTTTCTTTGGGGGAACCCTTCTTCCCATGGCCTACTTTTCACTAGGTTATGTGGGGATGCCTGAAGCCAGTGGACCCTGGCAGCGGACACCCGGATGTGCGGCCTTCCCAGCGGCCCCGGCGAGGCCCGAATGGTCCACAGCTGCGGGAAACGGTAAGAGGAGTCCGCCATGACCATGGCGTCCTTTCCTCCCCCGGGACGCCATTTTGGAAACATTTTCTTCATTCAGGCGTCCTTGGAGGTATCCGAAACCCTCCCCCTAAATATTTTATTAGAAGTTTCTAACAGCAAAGTCGGCATTTGCAGCCCAAACGCAGGCCTCCTAGCTGGGGCACTCCCTCTGCCCTCCCGCACAGCGCCCACAGCTGAGGGGCTGGGATTCAGGCTCCAGGTGGCTTCCAGAGCCGAGTCCGCCGCTGCCGCTTGCATGGCCTCAGCACCGCCGTAGATGGGGGCTCTCCCACCCCAACCCTGCTTTGGGGACGGAGGACACGGTTCTGGACTTCTGAAACCGCTGCTGCCCGCGGGTCCGCCTAAGTGTCAGGGGCGAGCGGGCTGCGCAAGCTTCAAAAGCAGACGCCCGGCTGGCACCTTGGCTCACTAGGCTAATCCTCCGCCTTGCGGCGGGGGCGCCGGATCCTGTCCCGGTTGCCCCTCTTCCAGGCCAGCTCTCTGCTGTGGCCAGGGAGTGCAGTGGAGGATGGCCCAGGTGCTTGGGCCCTGCACCCCCATGGGAGACCAGGAGAAGCACCTGGCTCCTGCCATCGGATCAGCGCGCCGACGGCAAAAGGAAGACCTTTCTCTCTTGTCTCTGACCTTTCTCTCTCTCTCTCGCTGTCCACTCTGCCTGTCAAAAAAAAAAAAAAAAAAAGGCAGACGCCCCTCGCGGTTGAAAGCTGGTGGCGGACGTTGGGCACAGGACCTTTATGTTATGTGCCCAGGGAGAATGGGGTTGCTCTCTTTTGTGCTCCCGGGCGCTCGAAGCCTCTGATGGCATCCCAGACGCCGAAGCCGCCATAGCACCTTTGAGTCTGCAGTGCCCACTCCTGGCACCTGTCCCCAGCCCGCGCTGCCCCCTGGACCACGGGTAAGTGCTGGCCGACCTGCTGGGCTCTTCCTGCACAGTTGTGGTGGGGCAGAGCTGGCTGCCCCTTCCCTCCAGGGATCCCTGGGGCCTTTCTCTCTGTGGGCAGGTATGGATCCCTGAGGGCTGGGAGAGAGGTGGGGTTCTCAGGTGCAACCGGAGGCTGTCTCTCCTGCCAGGTGTGCAGGGAGGAACAAATGCCAGGCTGGCTGGCTGAGGAGGGGGCTGGGTGTAGAATGAGGCCCAGGGAGAGGGTGGGGCAGGGGCTCAGCCTGGATTCCAGAAAAGCTCTGGCCCCTCTCAGCGGCAGTCGGGATTGGGTGGGCATTGTCGTCTTTAAGGGAAGAGCAGCTGTTCCCAGAGTCGTGGGGACTTGCAAGCAAAATGGCCTTAGACGTTTTGAGTGGCAAGGAGGCTAATGCGAGGTCTCCGTCAGACCTTACATTTTACAGTGGGGGAAAAGCAAGGCCGTGGGACAGAGGTTCTTTTTCTGGGTGGGAGCAGAAAGAGGCCTGCACCTGGTGGGCATCTGCCTCCCCCCACTGCAGAGCGGGGGTGATGCGGCCGGGCTGGAAGGCCTCCACGCCCCTCCTCTCTGGGCAATTGGCTGTGCTTGGGAAGGGGCTGAATTAGCCCCTCGGAGGCCCATCTGCTCCAGAGCTTCTCCCTGGGAGGGTGGGGATGAGGGGAGGGGACTACAGTTGGCTCTTTGTTTTTCTTAAAGCAATGGTAGACTTGACATTGAGTGCTGGGCCTGTTTTGAATGAAGAGACACAATGAAGTGTATTTCCCTGTATACGTGGGAGACTGTGAAGTCGGTGATGAGCACTGATAGGGTGAGCTGACCGCCCTGATCTGCGGTCAGGCCATTTCGTTCTCTTGGTGGCTCATGAGTGCTCAGGGAGGACGTGGTATTGACAGTGGGCTTGGTTGAGGCCCTGGCTGCCCCTCAAGGGTGGGTGTCTTGACCACAGCTACCTCTTCCCAAGCATCTTAGATTGAGCCCTCTACCTCCCCATTATGTTACTAAAGGATGGTCTCCTCAGTTTGGATCCTAAATATAAAAATGAACCCTTTTTTTTTTTCCAAGTAGCCTGGAGCAGTTTAGGGGACAGTGTGCCACAGCACAGCAAGTGTACTTGACTTTGGAGCCCCCTTACTGATCTTTTCTTAGCCCTGGCATTGCCCTACTTTCACTTTAAGGGTTCACTTTCCTTTATAAGCAATGAAAGAGGGGGAGCAGGGCTGTGGTTGAACAGCTCATGAAAGGCAGGGAACTGGTTTCCAACAGGGCCCAGTCCATACAAGCTTTCGTTTCTAAGTGTGGCCCTTTTGGTCTTATGGCTGAGGTCACGGTGGACTCAGTGGAGAATCCCAAAGTTTGTGTTGCTAGCAACAGACATCTTTCTGTTTGTCATCTGGTAGGTATGAATTGGTTCTTAGGTTCTCCAAGGCCTGTTCAAACGTGAAGGTGTTTGCTTCTTATAGGTTCCTGGTTACAACTTGTGGTTTCAGTCGCATCTGAGTTGAAGTCTTGGCCCAGACATTTGCTAGCTGAGGTGTTGTTGGCAGGACGTTTTACCATCCGTGAGTGGTCTTTTATTTGAGAATAAAAGTGGGGGTGTGAGCATTGTGTTTTGTGGTTGGGACATCAGAGTATCAGAGTGCCTGGGTTTAGTGCCTGTCACCTTCTTGCTAATACAGATCCTGGGGGGTTAAGGCTCAAATGCTTGGGTTACTGCCACCTGTTAGGGAGATACGGGGTGAGTTCCTGGTTCTTGGCTTCTGCCTGGAGCCATTGCAGATGTGGGGAGTGGATCAGTGAATGAATGAGAAACTGAACTCAGACACACGGAATGTTCTTTGCTGGGGTATTCATCTAATGGTTTCCAGTGACTGAGGACTGAATGCTGGTGTTTTCTGGTTTGCCTATTTCCCTGATGGTTGGTTTTAGACTATATGCACAAGCCAAAGGGAAGATGGACTACAAACTACGAACTCAGTAGCTAGAGCCAGTTTATTCAGAGACAGACCTGATAAGGGCCCTCTACTAGCGAGGGTCAGGATACATTCTGGTAAGAGACTAGGGGCTTATCTATCCTGGGCTACTTTTGGTTCAGGGTGGACAGGGATTAGGCAGAGCTGAGCTGGTTTGCCTTGGCTTTTTCAAACTTCTAGAGGGTTGGGGCTAATGGCTGAACTCTTGAGATAGTGGTGTGGCTGTAGGAAAGCATCACTTCTCCCCATGATGTTGCTCAAGGTCCTGCATTCTGACTCTCAGGATAGATAGAAAGATGGGTGTGGTATCCTATTGGCCACTTCCTGCTGATGCAGGACCGTAGTCCAGTTTTACTGGAGAAGAAGAGCAGTCTTGTGATGTTCCTGCAGGATGTCTTGGGATACAGCAGTCACTCGTTCCTGTGAGCACTTTTGAAATATAATTATGTATCACAAGAGTAAAAACACTGAAAAAAGGATATGGTAGAAAAATTACCCAGAATGGCAAAGATGGCCAAAATGTGGCAAGGGTATTGTTGTAATGCATTCTTACATTTCATTAGCATGCTTTTTTTTATTGTGTTCAGTAGCATCTCTCACAGCACCTGACTCCCTGGTGTACAAGCCACACTCTTTACCCAAAGAGGCAAAGTCCTCCTTTTTTGGAGGTGAGGAAGTCTAAATCCTCAGTGATTTCAAAGGACCACTGCTGACAAGAATCTACCTGGTCTTGGAAGTGAGACAGTTGTGGTGCTGGGTCATTTATGTTTGCTTTGAGAGTGAGAGAAAATTCTTTGTATTTCTTTGTCTTGTCCCCTGAAATTTCCAGTCTTGCTGCTCTTGGCCCAATTCCTGGCAGAAAACACCCAATGAGAATAGCAAGGGGAGCTAAGTCCAAGTCACTCTTGACACGGTGGGTTAGAGGGATGGGACACCAAGTCTGGTTGAGAGTATAGGACAAAGGGTGAAATAGGAATGTGAGAGGACTCGTTCCTGTCCAGTTCATGGGAAGACATTTGTACACCTGGATGCCACAGAGTAAGAACTCTCCTATTTATGGTCCCACGTGTGCTCACCAACGCATCCTTGGGCTGGGTCCTGACAGTGATGGTTCAGTTAGAGTGGTAGTATTTGCCTTTGTGGCTAATTTCACTAACTTGTGGGAGTGGTGGAAGGAAGTGGAGGAAAGGAGGGAGGCTGGGAGAGTAATTGTCCAGCTGCAGAGCACATGGGACAATGATCCTACTTTATGACAAAAGGGAAGAGAACACATAGGATGCATTTAAGGGCTTGACCTATCAGCGAGACCCCAGAGAAAATGCCATTGATAGGTGTGTAAGGTTGGTTCAATTCTTCCTGTTTTGGGGAAAGTACAGGGTATCCCTTCAGTCCTGTGGCCTTTGTCCAGACTGCCTGGGAGGTGGGAGGAGAGTGTACAGATCCCGCATGAAGCGATAGTGGGGTTATGTTCAAAGAAGAGATGAGAGAAAGCATTGATAAGAGCTGTGTAGAGGCTTTGGGAGGATGTGAGGTATATAGATTTGGGGACCACAAAACGGGGGCAGATTAGAAGCAGCAGACCGTAGTAAAGCATGCAACCCAGAAGAGAGAAGAGGGCTCAGAGACGTCCTTTGCTATGAGTCATTCAGTTGGATCAGTTTCTAACAAAGTCTAGAGCTAATATCACAACAAAAGATAGCAACAGGGTACAGTGCATTACAGTAAGAGATGTAAACAGAGGATAAAAAGGGGTGTCTGAGTAGGATGAAGTCCTAGAGATTGCCCTGGAGCTGAGAGTCCAGGAGTTGGAAGAGTGGTCTGGTAGAGTTGAAGACCACTGCCTTTCTTTTAGGATTACTTGGAGGAGTCTGTAGAAGTGGCAGGGGTGTGCGGAGATGGTTCTTGCAGTAGTTGGGGGAGCTGTGTCCACCTGAGAGTTGTGGGACCTGTTGAGTAGGGTGTGCAGTAGAGGTGTTACTAATTGTAATGGAGCGAATGTATAGTGTGGGTGTCTCCTGAGTTTAGCAGTGGTCATTTCGACAGGGCTTAAGGGTGACATGTCGGTGCACAAGGAAGAAGGAACACATGGACACAACACTGTCTTTCCGGTGAAAGGCTTTTTATTGCTCACTCCAATTCACACTAGGGCTTTCCCACTGCATACCAATCTCTATAGTTATGTTCATTACTCCACAGATCATAACACACACCTAGCATCAAAGCAGTCTCAAAGGCAAAACAACTGTAATAAGTACAGCAAAGCATATAACGTTATTCTTAATCATAGGGTCGAGGCACATTCCTTCCTATTACATATGGCTAATATCATTATGAATGCTGTGTTCTCAGGGTTCCTATCACGGTCACGAAAAGTGAAAGTTCAAAGTCCAGAGTCTCATTACCACTCAGAGAGATGGATCTCAGAACAGTTACTTACAGGCAGGAAGTTGTGGGATGGCTGTCACTCTGGGCAGTAGGCTCAGAGTTCCCAGGGGGATGACAAGGCAAGGAGTTGGAGAGGTCCCCTGCTGAGAGGTCTGGTCCAGCTGTGTGGTCAGGTCAGGCAGCAGGCTGATAAGGGGTCCAGGCGAGGCACTGGCTCCACTGGAGTTTGGTCCTGTAGTCGCTTTGTGTCGCTTAGCAAGGGGCTAGCGAGCTGGCTCTTCAGTTCCAAGTGTGAGGAGATCCGGAGGTTCACACGCACTGGGCCCTTGATCGGTTGTTGCCTTGTGCCGTTACAGATCCATCTGTAATGGGCTGCCTCTTCAGCTCTGAATGTGTGGAGATCTAGAGGTTCACAGACACCGGGACCATGATCCTTTTATCCTTGTCACTCTGAAGGGGGAGTCTCCAGGAGGAGTCCAGGTGTCACCAATCAGTTGTGCTCCCTCTCGGAGTATCCCAGGGTGCCACCAATCCATTGTTTAGGACAGTGTATCTGGAGTATTCCTTGGGTGCATCCAATCCCTGTGTGAGTAGGAAGGTAACTTGAGGTTATCATCTATAGCATACAGACTGCCCAGGGAAGTCTGTTCAGTCTGATTAGGAGCATCTTTCTGGCAAGCGCTGAGCTTGACATAAGTGATGTCATCAGCTTCTGGCTTAGCATAAGTAACTCCATTTTTATTTCTTATTTTTGCTTCTTTGTGGGAAGCAGTGAGCTATAACTCTTTTTTGGGGCTACCAGTGGATTTCTCCATGGTCCACAGCCTTTTAATCATTGGGTGGGCAGTGATCTGTGACTCATTTTTAGGAGTCCTGTGGGATTCCCCACAGTGGTAGTCCATAGCACTTCATTAGAGTCTGTTGCATTTCTGTGTGAGTGCTTGCCTCAGGGCCAGGCCATGCTAAGGGCTGTGCTGTTGTTTGCTGTGGATGTTTTGCCCGAATGGATAAGTGAGGCAGAAGGAGGTAGCAGGGTCTCTGGGAACAGCAAGCCTGGTGTTGGGGAGAGGAAGAGGAGGGGTCTCTGTTGAAGGGTGGGAGTACTCATCGGGGAAGTAGTCAGTCTGGATAGGAGCACAGGGCCATACAGGGGTGGCCTTGGGAGCTGGGCTGAAGGGGTCCACCCAGCATGCAGGGAGCCCTAGCAGGGGTCAGAAGGCAGTGAGTGCAGTAGGACGCTGGTCAGGTGTGTGTGAGTGGGGAGCAGGGCTTCACTTGTGAGCCTTGGCTCAGAATCTTCCCCCTTCAGACCTCAGACTCTTTCCCATCTCACCAGGACGGTCACTCCCCAGCCTCCACTGTGGTCCCTGCCTCCAGCCCACAGCAGGAGATTTGGGGGCCACCACCTAATAACTTGTGGGTTCTGGGTAACCAGGCTCAGTTCCTGTAGAAAGCAAGCCTCCAGGGGAGTGGAGCTGCATCTCATGTGTGGACACTCAGGGCTGCTGCCTCCTGAGTCTCTCACTGTTGTCCTGTGGGCCATTTGGCATCTTTGGCCTGGGCGTGGAGACACGGGAATGATCTGAATGTGCAGGGTTTGTGGAGAGAATGATTGGCAGAATAGACCCCAGTGTTTGGCCTTTGTCCACCTGCTGCATTACTCAGGGAAGGGCAGGTGTCGATGTTAAAGTACAGGGTGCACTTGGAGGAGCTAGGCCATGGAGGGAGCCTGCTGAGAAGGCAGGGTTGGGCGTGTAGAAGGGGCAGGGGGTGAGTGCCGGGTGTGCATTGTGTTACCAATGCCCGGCTTCCTCCCATAGGGTTCTCCCTGAAGGGGTAACAAGAACATGGCTGCACTGCCCCTGCGCTCTGTGATTTTACATTTCCTTTTGTTGTGCTGAGAACACTGCATGAGAGATCTGTCCTCTGAGGGTTCTCTCCATTTTTAGAATTTATAATCTTATTAAAAAAAGATTTGTTTATTTTTTTGAAAGTCATAGTTCCAGAAAGAGGGAGAGACAGAGGGAGAGATCTTCCATCGGTTGGTCATTCCACAGATGGTAGCAGTGGCCTCCCTGGTACAGGCTGAAGCCAGGAACTTCTGCCCAGTACCCTGTGTTGGTTGCAGGGGTCCAGGTACTTGGGCCATCTTCCTCTGCTTTTCCCAGACCATTTTCAGGGACCTGGATTGGAATTGGAGCAGCCAGGGCAGGAACTGGTGCCCACATGAGATGTGAGGGTTTGCAGGCTGTGGCTTTATCCACTACAGCACAACATGGGCCCATCTCTAGAACTTCATCTCCCAGCCTCCTGCTTTTGCTGGACCCTGGAAGGAAGTCTTTGTTGTGTAAGACGACTGCCTCAGTCGCCTGAGCACTGGTGTTGGTTGAGTGTCCCCAGTGTGCTTTCCACGGTTGTTTTGCCAGCATGGGAGGACGGATTGCATTTGGGATTCTCTGGGAAGATTATCCAGGGTGATCTCATACCTGTGAAGGAGTGAAGTGAACGAAGGGTTAAGTCAGTCAGGCATGCAGTGAATCCTCATTTGTCCGGTGGACACCTCTAGAACATTTTGGGGGGAAAAATGACCTGATCCTTTGCAGTATTCTTAAACTGT